ATTTCATCATTTTTTAATTTGTTATTTAAATAGAGAGTTTGAAGAAATCGATTAATTATATAATACTTTTGTGCTATTTTTGTTTGTGGAGACTTGCGATTTGTCTTGAAATGAAACAATTCGCCTTACGATTCGAAGGATTAATAATAAAAAGAAACAATTTGATGAGAGAGACGCAGGTAGAGAAGTTTTCTCGTGTACAAGAGCGCTTCTGTGAGTAATAAAAGATAAAAAATAAAAATGCATACGAATAGATTGAATGCATTCTGCCTCGACAAGAAGGAGGCCGTCCGAGAAGAGGTTTACTCAACCATATCTCTTCGAATGGTTATCGTTCGACCTCGGGGCGCCTCAAAACCTGATGCGGGGCAGACCATAACTTAAGTGTTTTCTTAAAAAGTATCCACGGGCGTATTCCGATACTCATACGTCGAGATGAAATTGGAGCCACCGAGAACGAGGGTGTATTTTTTTTCGAGGAAGATCGAAGGATAAACATCGAGACCTCAATTTCACGCATCGAATAGAAGTCTTTCTTCGAACTAATAGTAGAAATCATGTATGAATAAACCGGTATATCGAGTGATGATTTTCTCTCGCGGCGATTAAATTAATTGAGAAGTAAACAAATATTTATCATGTGTCGCGGGGATCAAATATAATTTCTCTCCACAAAGTTTATTGCGAAATATTTTATCCTATATAAGAAATGTGTAAATGGAATATACAAGCGCATCTGCCTGCAGCTCTCTCTTTTTAGAATTATAAAAAATGAATCGAGAAAAAATCATCGAAGCAATCATGATCAAATCTTATCTAAGATTACAATTTACAAAACAACTTATCGCAAATAGATATCCAATAGCTCGATAGCTTATCTAGATACTTATTGCCGGACTCTCATTCATGAAATCGATAGAGCACGAATCAACCGGGAGTCAAAATAACCATTAGACTTCGGGTTAACATGAGTGGCGAAAGTTTAACTTCTATTTTACGGAGAACGATTCGGGCGCCGCATAAAACTCGACGAGGCTCTCGCTGTCACGCGTCGTGCTCTTTTATGAAACCATAACGCTCGCCGCGGATTCAGGACGGGATACTTATGAGGCTATTACGAGTAATTTCCGCTCCCTTTAACTCCTCTCTCGTTTCCTCTGAAGGAAACCGCGCGATATACCCTCTCCGGTACCTGCGTCTCATTCTCGATTATTATTCGCATTTCGCTCGTTGCAATCGTAAATCGTGAAACCGGCTTAATGAACGATGGACAACGACTCTGTGAAACGCTTTGGAGATGTTAAGACTCATCCGAACGCGGCGATTGTAATTGGCAGACAGAGGAAAGGGAAAGTCGAAAGTTTTGCAATGTCCTTAAACGGCACACTTGCGGGCGTAATTATTGTTAATCACGAAAGAAACGGAGATATATGATTGAACCGCATTGGGCCTAAGTGTCTTCAAATATTGTACTTACCGCGAAAGTCTGCACGAGAGATTATAGTAATAAATCTACTTTATGGTAACGATTATTATGGTTATTACGATAATTTACAATGGTAACCATTATATTATAAGTAGTAATGAAATTACTGCGAAAAGATAAAAGTTTCTCTTAAATTGTGGCTAAAATTAAATTGAAATTTATATTATACGAGCAAAACTAATTAGAATATTTTGAAAAATATTATTGTTATTTTTAGAGAAAAGATAGCACGTGTACTTTCTAGTGCTATATAGTAATATAACTCCGCGTTCGTGATTGCCATTGGCTAATAGAAATGATTATCACATAATTACTTTATTTCTACTCTAATACAAATTTATTGCATATATTATTATACGTATATAGTATATATACATATTATATATTTTTTCCACGAATCCCAATTTGCATCGATAAATCCGTACTCTCGCCGGAATGCAATCTATCGCAGCGCATCCGTACAAGACGAAATATCTGCAAAGATCATCGGCGCCCCAAAGATTTACTGCATGTCACGCAAAAGGGTCGTCAGCCAAATTGTTTCACATTGATTTTCAGGTCGGGCAGGCACCGGTACGGCACCGCGACCGCTGCCCACACACATGCGATGTCTCCGCAAACGTATTGTGGTTTCCAAGGCGCTTATTTATGCACGGCCCGGCGTTTCCGCCCTTTCCGCTTGACGTTTAGGGCCGTTGACTCGTCTGACTTCGTCGCCGTTGTCGTCGTCGTACGATGAAGTCTCTCTGTCGTCGCATCTCTGTCGTGCTGACGCACCGCCGATATTTTCTCGATCTCCGAGAATTTTTATCGTCGACAAATCTCTTGGACGTTTCAACTTTACGTCTTTACGTGTTTTATTTCAAGGCAAATCGCAATTCCATACAATCAAAAACATTATGAAAATATTTTATAATTAATCGGTTCCTTAGAATTTTCTATTTAAATAAAAAATTAAAAATTGATAAAACCTAGAATACAAATTTTAATTATATATATGTATTAAATGCATATTAAATATACATATTTAATTTTGCATACGATGAAAGAAGAGAATGTTGTTAAATGTTTACAATACTTGATAGTCTTAATATGACACGATAACTAGGATAAATAAGAGTCTTTGATTCTATAATTATACTGTTAATTCCATTTTAATCAGCTTTAGATCGTACAAATAATTAATTTAAGAAAAAATACAGAGTTATGACAAATATAATGAACTCTTTATTCTATTATATATATATATAAATATATGCACAAATCTCTAAGAATACAAAAAGAAGATTGTATAAGAAAAATTCGAATCCAATATAGAAATGAAAAAAAAAATAAATACGATAAAGTAAGAAAGCACATTATGGAATAGTGTTATCTTTTGGACTGCGCGCGTGCTATGGACGCTCTTATACAGAAACATTCTTCTCCTGCATACTATCAGAACAAGAAGAATGTCCCATTCATACTTTTACACGCCGTTTATGGACGCGTTACGCGTCGTATCAGTCTTATCAGCACTTCTAAGCCGCCTGCAATTTAATGCATGTATATGCGCGTGTAGGACTATCGGTAGAAGAAAGATCGTAACTGCAGAAAATGCTACTTGCAGTGCAATAGCCACGTGAACCTTGAGAATTCGATAGAACTTCCATAAAGCAAAGCACAACATTGAAAAATATTTCCGACGTTCAGATATGTAGGAATAAATTTTTTTCGATATTACATATTATATATCTCTTTTACATATTTCTACAATATATAAATATATTCTTAATTACATACTTATTAATTAAAATTAAAAGGATAAAATAATATAATTCATATGTACATTTATTTTGCACGCTGTCCAATGTTCACTCGCAAGAATAACGAAACGGATCTGTTCCGTGTATTTGACTGTACATCCGAAGCGAAGACAAATGATAATGACTATCATCACGAAATATCACAGCTTCGCTATGTTTCAAACGTTGCCGGAGGCAACGATATGGACACGCGCGCCGTTAATTCGCGAACCCCAGCGCCGTTATTTCGCGAGAATTTGTCAAGTCCTCGCTCTCTCTCCGCAGCTCTCTCACGACAGGCGGCATCGCTAATTGGATGCAAGGTACGAAGCTACGTTTCACTGGGACGAATCCATTAATATCGTCTTCGACAGATGGGCTCGCGCGCGCAAACCCGGTGGTCTCTCACGAGAGGGAGGATTTCTCGCGTCGTCATTAATCACTGAAACAGGAACAGCGGAGCTCGGGTCGTCTAGAAAGCGTCTGATTTCTCGCAAAGACATCGGTCCATCTCGCATGGTCGAGAATCCGCGATTTGCTTCCCGTTCGTATCGTTGATCCTGGATGATAACCGCGACGAGAATTATATATTTATAATATACTTGTGTGTGTGTGTGCGATTTCACTAACTGCCACGTTGTTGCAAACGCGCGAAGATGCATATGCAACATGCACACGTTGAAAAGTCTCTTGATCCCACGACGCGCGTAAATGCAAGTAAATTGCGCGATTACTACATTCTTTTGGCAATTGAATAATATATAGATATAACTTTTACGCACATTAATAATAAATAAAATTAATTATGTCTTGCAAATATATTATTAATGTATTTTATTTCTCTTCTTATTGTACTATTTAATGATTTTTCATATATTTTTTATCGTAATTTCTTTCTAATAATTTTTTGTATATAATATTATTTTTATAAATTATACACATTAATATAATTAATTTTTTTTTTATATAACAACAAAAATATTTTAAAAATTGTTACGCAATAACATAAAAAATATAGTATCACATATAAATAATCATTTATTACGAAATTTAAATACATATTCTTTATTGCTATACAATTTCTCTCTTTTCAAGCAATACATGATTTATCGTTTGTAGATAAATTCTTTCATTGACTCACTTTATTTGAATAAAGTGAATCGTCATGCCATCTACTGCATAACGTGAACAATGGAATTCTGTGTATGTGTGTGTGTGTTAAACGTAAAAATTATAAAAATATATTTATTAATAACAAATTTAGCAGTAAATACATTCATAATTAAAAATTATCATTTATAATATATATATATATATATATATATATATATATATATATATATACAGCGTGTCTGACATAAAGTGTCACACCAAAATATACAAGTGGATCTCATTATTTGGAGACGATTTTTCCTCAGCAAAAATGTTGAGGGAGACCATTATTTTTTTGCAAGTTCCTAATTTTTGCCATCATGTATCTTTACAACTAAAACTTTAAATTAAAATTTTATTAAAATAAACTCTACTTGAAATTAATTGGAGAATGTTTTGTTAGTATTTTATTTCTACAAGGATTAGTTTGCGAAAAACCCTTGATTTTCAATCGCTTACAATTTTTATATATATATATATATATATATATATATATATATATATTGACCATTAAAACGATTTTTGAAAAAGAAAATAGGAAAATAATGTACAGAATTATATTATTTATAATGACGGAATTAGAATAAAAAATTTGTTTATTGTTCTTGTATATTATTCATACAATATAAATAGAAATTTTTTTTTACATCAAATAATTATTTTTATATATTATTTAATTAATGTTATAGAAAAAATATTTTGTAGAAAAACTGTATAATCTCTATAAAATTGTCAAAACAGTAGCGGTCATGTAAAGAGACCTAATATGAATTTGTAATATAACGTGATATAATTATTTTGATTTGCTCGTGAAATGAGATTCTAAGCTTCCAAATAATTTGTAGTTTTAGCAATTTGGACGGATGTTTCAAAATCTTTTTTCAGTCTTTTGTTACACTATAAAAACTTGCTTTATCGGCTATAATTAATTGTACATTATTAAAAAACTTAAAGTAGATTAAATTTAAGTATTAAAACTTAAGTAAAAAAGCGCTACCATATGATTAATGTTAATTGAACTTTTTTTAATCGTAATAAACGTAATTGCGTTACGTTTGACGTAGCCTAAAAGCTATTACGATTTTTAAAAGCAATATTGAAAATATATATATTGTTTAATGATATGTATATCATATCAACAGTACGTACGTTACGTAAATTGATAGATATAAGGAAGATTGTAAAGTTATATGAGAATTGTGATGAAAAGACAAATTTTGTCTTTTGGACAATTATTGACAGAAAAATTTTTCAAGTATAAATATTAAAAACGATTCGTAAACTTCATATTATCTTTAACAAATTCACATGTTCTTTTTATGTAGATTTTTTTTAGTAAATGTAAATTCTCATGTGAATGGAAATTCTTTCTCACATACTTCTTTTTGGTGACTATTAATGTATACATATTTCGCTTTCGTATATTGTACTTTCCTTTAAGGCCACAAAAGTTCTATGTTAGGAGACTGCAGCTTAGCGAATATTTTGTACATTGATAAAACAACCAGCCAACAATATATCTGAAAAAACATGAAAGATATGATTACCAGAAATAACTTTGATAACGCGTACTAAACAAAACACACTTACGTTATAAGACATCCAAAGCCAATTGCACAACGTCGCGAATACAGAGTCCAACTGAGGCAGAAAACATACAGAGAAATGATATGATTACGTGTTTATTCGACATAAAAATCTGACAATAAAAAAATCAAAACAGAAAGTTGAAGACTCTGATATTGATTATCCACAAATAGAGAAATCGGGAGTTTGACAGTTAAGTGCAATATATAGGTATGTATATGCGAATTTTACTTTTTATAATCCATGCTTATTATTTTATTTATTTTTAAAAGTTATTAATAATGATTCAAATAAACGTATGACTATATTCAAATAGTTGATAAATCTAAAAAAAGAACAAGACTTTATTTTACCGTACATGGCTTTTAATTAATCTGTTTTCCCTATTTGTGGATAAAAAAATAATCGCCCAAGTAAAAAATGATAAGACTCACATAAATATAGTAACCGCCTAAAAGCCACAGTCCGAAAACTAACTGGAACAAGCAAACGATGAACCATCCAACAAGCCATGGCAATAACCATCCACGTACCCCTTCTTTTATGCCATATACCATTAATAAGGCACATATGATTAACAGAAGCAGATAGAAGATTAGGAAGCCTCCGACAACTTGCATAGCTAAAAATTACAAACATTTTTATTTTTTCTTTTATTTTTAAATATGATAAGAAAAATATAATCATGACATAATAGCATGAAAACACGAATTTTCAAAATCAATTTACTTGAAAACGAAGACTCGAACAAAATGAGAAATTATTTCACAACTTTGATTTATTTTTACACAAGAAGTCATTACGGTTATCGCTATATTATACATCAAAAACGATGCAAGTATTACGCACGATATTGATAATAATTTCATAAAAATAAAACCAAATATATTTATCTTTATAAAATTAATTTCTCTTTTTATTCTTAAAGCGCTATTATTATACACGCGTCTTGTGTCATACTTACAGCCTCTCACATCGGCCTCAAATAACGGATTGTATATCTGTGTAGAATCACCGCCAGCCAATTGATAGCATATTAATGTGATTAACACTATACTAATTGCCTGAAAAAATTAACAAGAATTGATTATTTGATATTTTCACACAATAAACATTACAATATTTTTCTCTTCAATATTATTCTCTGCTAGGTATACTTGAATATTAACTACTGCCTCCAGTTTTACGAAATTCCTTAATTACAGTCAATTAACGTACTTACCACTGTGTAAAACGCTATAACTTTACTGCCAGTTTTTACGCTGTTCGACCAAATGCACGGCGACCAACAAGATTCTAACATCGGCATTGTTTACGCTGGAATAAAAATTAAAATTTGAGAAAGCACAAAACGCGCGCCTTAATTACCGACAACGATGATTATCGAGCGGCTGTCGTAAAACTTGGGCGTCGGCGTGAGTCAGAGTTACCAACGTAATTTGTATAGAGAGAATTATTGTTAATTATAAAATTAAATAGTTAACAAAATTATATTAATTTATAAGATTAATTGTACATCCAAACAATTATTAGCATTTATATCTAATATTTCTGAATCAATTTCGAAGATGCACTAAGACTGCGCCAATAATTGACAGCGCTGGCAGCCCATGCTACACAAAGCGAGACACGTTTAATTCAAAGACGCAAATTGAATCTTGTGTTGCATAAATTGGGCGAATATTGTTCGACAAAATTAGAACATGTTTTATAAATAACCACGTCACTCTTCACTCAATGCGATATCGATGTTTAGACTGGAGATTCAGATAGCGTGTTGTCTAAATTCCATGACACATGATACGATGGCACAGTTGGTTCATGTGGTATACCAACACCAAGCAATTTATGAAAGTCGCTCTTCTGTCGGTTATACTTACGATTTTTGTGAGAAAAAATAATTTCAATCGAATTTTTATCGCAAACGCGAACTGCCGCCACGATCGCCGAGATTCGAGTGTTCGAATCGTTTCGGAGTAAGAGTGAAACTAGCAAAGAATGCCATGCACGCCGTCGGTAGACGCACAGTTAATGGCGTCGTTGGTCATCATTGATGATCCCCTCCACTCTGTGAACAGGTCACAACGCCGACTATTTCTCTTTTCCCAAAACCTGTAGTTACCGATACTCCAAGTTGCAGCTGGCTAAAAATTGTGCAACGTAACTAGGGTCTTCTATGAAAAAGATCAATTTTCTAATGTATTTCTGTCTTTTAAGTAATATTTTTGACATGATATTGAGATTTTATTAATATATTATTACACATTTAATTTATCTCTTTCTCTTTTGGATGACAAAATATCTCTATATTCTATAATTAATCTTTTGTTTTAAAAAAGTCTTATAAAGTGCAATTGATATATTTTATGATACAAAATTCTCTTTTTTCCTTCAATATCAAAATGAAAATCTGATATATATTCAGCATAAGAAATGGAAAACGTAAATATTATTTTTTTAGAATTTTGATAAAAAATTTCGATAGAAAAATGAATCTATGTTTTTCTTTAGCAACTCATTGAATTTAAAATCACTGAAACCACAGTAAATTAAGTCGGTTTGCCAGCTGATAACAGTGCGGCTGATGATCATATAGAACCAGAGATTTCTAACTGTACAGTGTCTCTGCGGCGCCAAGTTTAAATTAAGAGTTATTCATATCTTTCATCGCATTCTTATAAATTTACATTTTAAAATACGATTGTATTTACAATATATAGAGATGTAGATATATTTAATGGTATTTTTTAAAGTATAGACAATTTTATTTTACTTTAAGAGTAATTTAATATCTGAAACTTGAGGAAGATTTTAAGGCGACCACACATCTGTAAAAAAATTATTTATTTTGTATTAACGATAGTAGATTTTTTTACTGAGATTAATATTAAAATTTATAAATTTATATATCTCCCACAGGAGCGACGAACTCAATATAACAGCGTTATCGGAATCAGTATCTGCAAAGCGATTTACTGTCTATTAATATCGCAGTGCAAGGTCAGCCTGGATAGAAATAGAAATGGCCACATTTATATCTCCTATTAAGCTACGTTTGAAGAGTAGCATAATAGCTGCTTTGTAATTTGCATCGTATTTCAAGAGAAATTTATAAAGCTTATCGAGCAAGTGATTTGCGTGATTCTTACACGATGTATTTATGGCGAAATTTTTTTTTATAAGCGCAAGAATGAAATTATACAACGCATGTTGGTTGTATTTTTTAATATTTTTATAAAAATAAGATAATGGTAAAAAATTACTTGTGATATAATAATCTTGAAGTAAGTCCGCTCTATCGCAGTCATGTAATATAGTGCAATAGTTTCGGATTACCTGGCCGCAGAGTGTGGCAAAAAAACAATCCATCTGAGATCGACTAGGCTGAGATTTATCGGTGATAAAAATTCAACTCGGGTGATTCAGGAAGCGTCCGTGTTTGCATATCACTTCAGAGAGACCACTTTATACGCGTTTCGTGCTTTCACGTCGAGACACATGTAATTCAATCGAAGTAAAATAAGCCAAAAGTGTGACGTGGAGAAAGAATCGTTGTTGAGGGGTCACGCAAAGAATCATAAAAGTCAATAAAAGTTGTAGACGGACACGTTCGTGAGTTTCTTTTTGTAATCGACGTACACACGGCGATCAGAATGGTTTGTTGATTGGCCGTCATTGTCGGTCGGGCCATGAGGAATTTCACGGGCCTCTACGAAACGATAAAATCCATTCACCCCAGGGAGGACAGTGTCTACATGCGTCTATAAATCCTCGCAGTCATCGGACGCAACAACTAACAGCGTAATGGATCTAGACATTCCACGAGATAGCGGTGCTCCAAGGCGCCGTAGATCATCGACAAGCAGGATTAACGTCATCGGGATTAGCAATATTATAAGATGCGAGGATATTTCCAGTTGGAAAATGATGCGAAACGGGCAACAAGAAACTGATCATATCGAATAGTCATAATAGCGAGATTGAACGACCGTTGAATACGATTAAGCGATTCCTGTAATGCAACACTAGTTTCCGTAATAATCGCTATATTTATCGCTTCGTACAAGAGTAAAAGTCACGAATAAATTTCCGCGATTTCCGTCGACGATCTTTCAACGATTCTCCCGACTATCTAAAGAAATAAATACATGCAGTATTGCGGAAACTAACGTTAGAGTGAACTAAGCTATAAGTATTCTATAGTAAAGAGATGAAGATTTATTCAGGCATTCACATCAGCATTCATCTATTGACCGACGCGATAAATTTCAAAATTTCCTATTAATCTCGCCATAATCATCAGCGCCAAACGCACCCAAGAACAAAAGATGCGTCCTGTAGTCTTCCGATATCGACTAGTCGAGAAGCTATAAATACAATGATCTATGTGTATAATGTCTGTATATGCACGTGTGTAGGCGCGCATAGATACACATCCCTCCGTTCTCCAGTCTTCCGTACCATTTTCTATGATAGCTCGCTGCCGTATCGGTTTCTTCCCGGCAGCATTAAGCTTCTTAGCATCCGGTGGACCACTGTAAACTGCCTCTCGATTTAGGTGTCGGAGCACCATGCCAGCTGCACGACGCTGTCAACGATGTTGCCGTCTCGCCGACGAGTATTTCAGAGGCATCAATGGTTGGAACGAAGACAAGCCACTGGCTGGCAACGTCGCGGAATCTTCGACCAATATACCCGTGGCACGTGGCTCTTCTCATACCTCGATCAAATTGAGCAGATCGGAGTAATCAGTAAGTCCGACAGAGCCGTTTCGTCGCGCCGCTTCTGCAGCAGATGAACGTGGACGATGTCGGATGAACGCACGTATGTATCGTGTGCACGATTGCTTACTCGACTTGTTGTTTATTGAAGCTCCAATTAAATTTCCTCGGACACAATACTGCGTTTGATCGTAAACAATATAAACATGTCTGGCATAAACATGATCGAAGAGATATAAACATTAGAAGACGCTGATACTAAATTATAATTATGAAAAGAAAGGGGCTAACGTTAACTGTTTACTAGCAGATTATGATGCATATAAATGCAGTCACTGCAGGTGCAATTCAGACGTTGCATCGTAATGGGAGCGTTCATAACAGACTTTAAAATGATTATCTTCGTGATAAGCTGTTATCGCGCTGTCCATGTTATTTAATTTTGCAATCAACTGCTTTCTCTTGTAAACGGAAAATATTTCGGCGACGCACAGTATCTGACGCAGGAATGTATTATTTGTTTGATTACCGACCCGAATTTCGCGAGTAATACCTCCTATGTTTACAACTGCTCGAGTGAGCTCGACGTACTTGGTACTAGAGTCACTCAAGTTGAACGAAGCGAATAACAGCATCAGAAAGAAAGAGAGAAAGAGGGAGGACAGAAATGATTGAGATATGCTGTGTTCGCGATAACTCCAATAATTCAACAACAAGCCAATCTCAGACTTAATCATTTTGAGATTTAATTTTCATTAAACGTAAAAAAATATAAATGCGTTAATGCATTTGCATATGTTAATTAGTAAGTAAAATAAGGAGCTAAGAAAAAAAATTTTAATTTCTTTTAAAATATTTTTTTAACACAAATTCTCAGTTAATATGAATTATCTGCGAGTAAAAACTCGACTCTTCGTGTGTTTGGTCGACAGTACGACCCCGAAAAGATACGCAGTCTGAGTCGAACTGATAACAGGATAAGATTCGTAAGATTCTGCAAACTGCAACTTTGTTTCGCGAGGCTTAAATTAAGCATTAAATTTAATGTTTTGTAATGTTTGTGAGATACTTTTAACATCTATACACTCACTCCAAAAAAAGCGATACACTTAAAATTTTGGAAAAAAATTATGAAATTTTAAACAACAAACAAAAAATAAAACTAAAGCTTTTACCATTGAGGAAAGTTCTCTATATGTGTTGAAAATTATGTCATTTTGCACCAGCTCATCAGATGCTCGATAGATCAATTTTAATTATTTATATAATGTGTATATTTTTTAATATATATATATAAATATTATTTTCAAAATTTCTGCATCTCGACATTGGAATTCTTTAACTTTATTGATAAGAAAAGTAATATTGTACAAGCCATCGAATTACTATAGCAATTCTCGTTTAGTTGAAATTTTCCTAGCAATTTTTGTTTAGTTCAAATTTCTAAGTACACAAGTTAAGAATAATTTAATTAAAGCACATCGATGATTAAAGTCAAATAAAATTTGTTGCAATGTAGTTCTGATCGCTCGAGTTTCGCCCTAGCTGAATAACTAATTGTAAGTATCAAGCTTTTTTACAGTTTTCGAAGTGCCGTAATTTTGCATTTATCCAAAAATTGATTTAAAAATATATATAATATATGTATGGTATAATTTTATTGTATACGCTGTTATTATATTGTATGTGCGCGTGTCTATATATATTTATGTGTATACAAAATTCTAAACTAGTAAAGAGAATAGACATCTTTTAAGATAATTAAAGTGGCAAATTTTATTATAAAAATATCACAAATTGAACATTATAAGTTTTGGTACAATAGATTTTATAATATGAATAGACAATACTATATCAATTTTTATTTAAGATATAATTGTTAAATTATTTTGCATCAATATACTTTTAACACTTATCAGAAAAAAATGTCTATCGAAATTTACATGATCACAATTAAAATCTATCGAATACATCCATAGTAACTTCAGAATATTTGTGTTGATTAAATATGCCAAAAATGCAAGAAACATCATCTTATCATATGCATCAACTAGATCACATTGAGCGACGTTAAAGTGAATACATACATACGCTTTATGATTAGTTATTTTAATTTAGTAGATTTAATGACATCTAAATTAGTTATATAAAAATTATTAAAATAGCCTTTATGATGCATAACAAATTATAGAATTGATACAATAATTACACGCAAAAATATTAACTTCGTTCTATCTATTTAATTTTATAATTATCGAAACCATATGATAGCGTTGGATTTGTTAAATTAGTGAGCATGAAGAAATCACATTGTTTTCAGATTTTGTATTTTGCCGTTGTCTCAAGTTATTTGTAAACTAAACATTATACACGTCATATGTCCTTATTTATTACTATTGTACCAACATTTATAATCTAACACTTCATGTTTTAGTTGAGAAATCTCACCTTCTAGTACAAATATTTGATGAGCCACGTAAATTTCTTGGTTCATGAATTTATTGCACTCAGTAATATTTTCAATATTATCATTGAATCTATTTAAATGAATTTCAAACAAAGCGCATACTTCCCTAATCGTTTTTAAATGCTTCGTAGCAATGAATCCAAGATATTCACGTTCTTTTATCAGCTCGTCATGTATTTGCGTAGATTTATCGTAGGATTCCGGTTTCATATCTATCTTTACGTTATAATTTAAGATATCATAACTGCTGAGATCCATTTTGAGTTTATTATACATATCAATAAACTTTCTTTGAAACTTTGCTTTATCAACTTGACAAGCTTGAATGTTTTTTGGCAGTTCGCTAGATATTATTACAATTTCCCTTGGCATGTTGGTCTTGTCAACGCAATCCGTTTTTATATTCGTGTCTGTACCGATATTTGATAATTTGTATGAGTCGTTATACAAGGTAAGTTCATCACGAATTCTTTTAATTTTATTGAAGTTCTCCATCACAAAATTCTGAAGATATTCGTTTCTCTTCATTAACATACTCTTTACATTCTCGCTCTTGTCCGACATATTAGTTGTCTCGGTGTCATTCGTTTCCACATTCGTTGCCTCTTGCTTTATCTGGAGATTAAAGGCCATTTCTTCTTTTTTCAGACCTAAACTCTTTTTTATTTTTTCAATTTTCCGCATGTAGAAATTTCTAAACTTAATAATCTTTTCTTTTTTATATGCCTTTTCGTGGAGCAAGCAATAGTTTATAAGGTACATAAAACTATAAGAAATCTCAATATGACGCATTTTGTGATTAACCTTGAGATACACATAATCCCTTCTTAGCCTGCTCAGTTCATTATCAGTTCTAATCAAATTAGGCATCTCGACGCCTGCTTTCATATTTGTTGTAAAATGCTCTCTTTTGAGTTTCAATGACAGCACGCGTTCTTCGAAGGTTAAAAATATATTTATTAGATGTAATCGATGGACTAAGTATTCTTCTTTTGTAGCGAGCTGCACTTTGTAATTTGCTCTTAATTTTTTTTTCCTCTATAATTCCTGTGGGAAAGTATCTCTTGCCATGATCATCAAGTTGTCCAATAATTCTTCTAATCTCATTCTGATAAAGTATCTCGTAAAATTGCTGTAACTTGATATCATACTGAGTTTTAACTTCGATCTTTCTTGGCGTATCCGTCATTTCTTGCTTTGTCAAATCTATTTTTTTATGTTTCTCCGAAATTTCTTCCTTCAATTTGTCATAAAATATGTCAAAAGCTTTAGTATAACCGGTTTTCTCAGATATAACAGTGTTTTGTTGCTTGTCAGAAATTGTGCGTGTCATATTATCTAGAACTATTTTATGTTCCCTGGCATGTTCCTTGGAACTTTTGTGATTTTGTTTTGTTACTTTATCAATTCACCTTCTATGTATGAGAAATCTTTCTTCAAATTTTCGACTCTTTGAATAAGCGTTGATAACATGTTCGAATCAATTGATTCATACAATGGGAATATCTCTTCCTCCTGAAAATAATAGAATTCAAACTAATTAAATTTGCTTCCTTTATGTAGTAGACGAAAGTTTTGGTTAGATTACTTATTATTATTAAATTTTTGAATAGAATAATTTATTTAATTTAATTTAAAACAAAATATTATATTTAACTTTCATTAATATATTCATAAATTTATAATATTTATATGATAATTATGCGAATTATTCATACAAGTGATTATAATTATAAAAAAAAACTAACAAATATACATATTTCAAGCTTGAAAAGTATTTTCAAAAATAAGTTATTCATCTTTATTTTATTGTCGATATTTAAATGTAATTCATTATCATTATTTATTAACAATTATAAACATATAATTTCATTTATGTTATTTATTATCCATTCTAAAACAGAACTTTTTACTATTATGCTACTGTAACTCAAAATAAGAACAATTACAATTTATAGTTTTTTAAACACTATTTTGAAGTCAAGTGATATAAAAAACACGAAATTTACATTTTTAAGTAAATTTTTATAATAAAATATAACAAATCAATATAATTTTAATATTAATATTGCTAATAATATTAAAATTATATTGATTTGTTACATCAGCGTCGATTTTCATGGTTTGTTTATTTCGAAGTTAATTTCAATAATTATCTTGTATTTTAATAATATAAATAAAGTTGTGAAAATAAAACATAAAGAAAACGCTACAAATGCAAATCTTTGTGGACATGTGCATATATTAATATAATATTTTGTAACTTTGTAAAAAATTTTGTAAATTGTCGCAATAAGAATGTACATATCACGTATCTAAAAAATAATGTTAAAAAACTAATTTAATTCTCAATTGATTCTATTCGCGCAGGTGGACATCTCTACTACCATTGCTTTATTTTGTAACTGTTCGTCGTCACAAAGTCTCGAAATCCATCATCCTATTACGGATTTATATTTAAATTATAAAAAATAACTTGTTTTGCTTCCGCCTAATTAATTTATGATTGTGTCTATAATTTTTTCACGAGTGGTTTCAACTGTAGTTCTACCTACAAGATGGAATAAATTCTGTGGTAAGTGAGAGGATCATGTTATGACGAACGGTTTGAGACGTCCATCAGCAGTACCTCAATAAATTCAAAACATATTTTATTTTTTGACTATCATAAACAAATTTCAACATTTTATATGAAGAGAAATCAATTGATGAAAAAGTTATTTTTGTACATTATTATTCTTTAGGCAAACGACATATGTATATTTTATTATGATTTAAAGAATATTTTTTGGGCTAATTATGCTATCCGCGCTTTATAATAGCAAGTATCTTGTAAATTCATAAGTGTTATATATATATATATATATATATATATATATATAAAATAACACATAACAATAAGAGAAAGAAAAAATTATTTATCTTTATAGAAAACGAATTTTCTTAAAATATCAAGATGTAAAGGAAAGCTTGAAATGTAAATTGGACATAAATACCTATATATGTACATATATGTTTTATTTTCACAAGATGTAAAGAAAAGTTTGAAATGTAAATTAGAGGCATATATATATATATATATATATATATATATGTCTAATTTACATTTTAACCTTTTCTTTGTATCTTGATATTTTAAGAAAATTCGATTTTATAAAAAATTTGATATTATATTAAGTGTTTTTAAGATTTCAAAATTCTATAAAGATAAATGATATATTTCTATTTTTATTTATTAAAAGTCATTAAAATCATTTCTTTTTGCGAACCTTTAAATTTATGAAATTTATAAATTCTGCTATAATATACTTATGAGTTATTAAATTTGTTTTCACCATCTGATAATGATAATTTATAAAAATGTTATTGTTTAATTTATAATCAATGTATGTTATATTGATATTGTTTATTAATTTTTAATGTAATTTAATTTCTCTTTATGTGTCTTTACTTAGAAATCGTATATCACGTTGTTTTAAAAAATTATAATAAAAATAACTTTTGTATTTGTTATTTATTATACAAAAAATGTGTCAAAAAATTTTTTTTTAATTTCAAATTTTATTATTATTACAATTATTAATAAGAATAACTGTAAAACTATATAAGACTGTAACAACATTTATTTTATAATTGCAATTTAACGATGTTACAAATAGTGTGTTCTCTCAGTCTTGACATATTTCTATTAAATTTATTTATTTTCTAAAATCGTTTTTAATTCAATAATATAAAGAATAAATAGTTTTACGTGTAAGAAGAATGCGAAGAATTGAATTAATAAAAGGAATTAAATCTGACCCAAAAGTCATGTCGAATCTCGCTCATCGTGGCAGTGGAAAATTTTTTAAACACTCTCAACCAACAGATTTTTAACAATGTATGTCCTTTACATGTGTCGACAGACGAATGTTCAGTAGAATAGAAAAAGTGAACACATGGCCATAACAACATCAGTGACTTGACATTTAAGATTATTGTTAAGAACAGCTGTCTGTTTTAAATTCCAAATATATTTTATAATGTATTGAAATTCATAAAATTTGCGATAATTTTTAGATTAATTTAAATATATTAATGAGATAAATATTTGTTCTAATTGCAGGTAAAGATTAAATGACGAATGTAATAAATACTCATACTATTAATAATGATTAGTAAAATTAAAAATAAATAGATCTGTTTGTAAATGCGCATGTATTATGCGTATATAAATATACAACATATGTGTAACTTATATTTAGAAATTATTTTAATTTTATCACATTTAGATAAGAGAATACAATTATTTAAATTTATTAAGCATTTATGGTTTTTTTAAGTATATCGTATAATTTTGCATATAAAAATATATAACACGTATTTATGTACAAAGTTATAAATCATTTAAAAGAGTGGATATATTTTGAAGAAAATTTAAATGGCAAATTAAATTATAAATTATTTAAAATCGAAAATTATGAATTTTAGCGCAACAAAAATTTTAGAATATACATAGATATTATATCAATTTTTAATCACAAGATATAATTCTTAAATTATTTTGTGTTAAAATTTTTAAACACTTATTAAAAAATAAATAGCTATCGAAATTATGATCATAGTTAAAATCTATTATGGATAAATACATACACATAAATGTTTAAAAATAATTGTGTTAGATATGCTAAAAATGCAAGAAATAGTATCAAGATGTATCAAATGAATCACATTAAACATTAAAGTGAATGTATATGTATGCTTTATGATTAGTTATTTTATATATAATTTAATATACTTTACATGACATATAAATTAAGAATATAGAATTTGTTAAGTTAATTTTTTTATATATAATAAATTGTAAATATTTAATTATTTATGCCATAATATTTATTACGTTTATTTATTGTTCAAATTATCAAATCGATGACAGAGTCTTTCATAACAGTTTTTCTTCTTTTGCATTAGTAAGAAGATTTCGTCTCGTATGTCATTTATTATACTTTTTTCACACTTTCTTATTATTTCCAATTCGTCAGTTAGTATTATAACTTCCGTCTCTATAAAATCAATTTCGTCAGTCGCAAGAAAATGTTTTATGAAACGATGATTCATGGTATCACCTCCAATTGTTGCATTGAATCTGTTGTAATATATTTCAAAAAAAGCATATACTTCTTTAATTTTTTCCAGATGCATCATTGCGACAAATGCAAGATATTCATTATCCCTGAACAGCTTGTTTTCATCGTCATGCGTTTTCATAGAGTCATATGATTTCGTATGCATAACAATCGTCACATTTTTATTTGGCATATCGTATCTGCCGCAATACATTTCAAGTTGATCATAAATTTTAAGAATTTCTTTTTGAAACATCCCTCTGATGGCGAAAATATGGTTATTGTTCCTTTTCAGCTCGCTCTTTTCATCGATTTTACTCGACATGTTGGTTTCCTCAGCATCATCCACTCCTACATTCCAATGCATAGCGATCTTTTCTTTTTCAATTGCCATATTGTATTTATCGCAATACATTTGAAGTTGAGCATAAACTTTATTAATTTCTTTCTGATGCATCATCGCGATATACCGAAGATATTTGTTATTCTTCATTAATATATTCTTTATATTATTGACTTTGCTCGCGACATATTGGTTGTTCTGGCGTTATTCAGTTTCGCATTCGTTGCCTCTCGCTCTATCTGAAGATTGAAGTCTATTACTTCTTTTACATCGCGAACCTTTTTTATTATTTCGATTCTCTGCATAATGAAATTTTTATGCATAACAATTTTCACTTCTTCATTTGGCATATTGTATCTATCACAATATATTTGAAGTTGAACAAAAATTCTATTAATTTCTTTCTGATCCATCGTCTCGACAAACCTCAAATATTTATTTTCCCACATTAGTATGCTCTTTTCTTCATCAATCTTACTCGAAATATTGGTCATCTCGATATCATCCGCTTTTTGTTTTTCTCTTTCAAACTTATATTTCAGTACTTTGTCTTCTACATCCAAACATTTGCTTATTAGTTGACTTCGATGCAAGCAGTATTCTATTTGCATAGCGATCTGCACTTCATTTCTTATAAAAAAGTGTCTCTTGTTTTCACTTATAATTTGCTTAATAAGTCTTTTAATCTCAGCCTGGTGCATTGTCTCGATGAATTGAAGATATTTGTTATCTTTCATCAATTCGCTCTCTTCATTATTGATCTTACTCAGCATATTGTTCATCTTCGTTAAATTTATTTTTTCCAATTTCTCTATATTACGTTGAAATTTTTCTGACGTATCTATTTCTGGTTTTTCTTGTTTTATATTTTTCTGGAAACTTATGTTATATATTTCCTCAAATTCTTCTTGTATTATTGAGAACGATTCTTTCACATTTTTGAAATATTGGATATAATTTAATAATGTTCTCTGGTCAATTTTTTTATACGTCAGACGTTTGAATAAATCCTGAAAATCTTAATATACAAACTAAGTTTACTTTCTTTATATACAGGGTGTCTTAGACCTACCGTATAACATGTTAATGGGAGATTCCTGAGGCAATTTGGAGACAATTTTTTTTTAGCGAAAATGTCGAGAAAGGTCATCATTTTTTTAATGTTCCCAATTTTTGAAATCATGTATCTTTGTAACTAAGCCTTAAATTAAAATTCTATAAAGTAAACTTTACCTGAAATTGCCAAAAAAATGTAGTTTTGTTATAATTTATTTTCACAAGGCTTAGTTTACAAAAAGGCTTATATTTTCAATTATTTTTAACCAAAAAATGATTGGTGCCTGGACATTTTTGTTGAGGAAAAATCGTTTCCAAATCGCCTCAGGAATCTCCCATTAACGTGTTATACGGTAGGTCCGGGACATTCTGTATATTGTAGAGAAAATTTTTTATTAAATTCTTTGTTGTATACTACAGAGAATTCTCTAAAAGAAATTATTTAATTTAATTTAGAGCATAAAGTAATATACTTATTTAATTTTTTAGTATATCTATAAAACTCATTATGATATGATAATGTGTAAACTATTTATACAGATGATGAAAATGATAAAAAATTAATAAATAATTTAAGGAAACTGTTACTTATTGATTTTAAAAATGTAAGTTGTTATCAATTTATTTATTATTTGTTACTAATTTTAACAAAATTGATTGTCATCAATATGTTATTATTATTTATTACCAATTTCAACAAATAATTTGTTACTATTACTGTTGTTTAAAAAGAGAAAGGTCGTTACAATTTGTTGTTACTTCTTTAAAGACTATTACAAAGCCAAGTTATATACATTGTATAAAATACACATGCATTTACATTTTTATAATAAAATATATCAATATATATATATATATATATATATATATATATATATATATGAAGTTTTTTTACAAAAATTGGAACAACATTATTATTATAGTTATCAAGAAAAGCAATTGTAACTGTAATAATTAGTATTTATAATAATTTATAATAATAGTAATATTTATAATAATTTATAATAATTTTAGTTTTTTTTGTAATTGTAACTGTAATGATGTTATAATTAATGCTTTACTGTGCTCAATTTTTACTTATTTTTATTAGATAATCTAACATCCTATTTTAGTTTAATAATATATATAGAATGTAGGTTTATGAAGAGAGTTGGTGGAGTTGAATTAATTAAACGAATACATTCCTTACCAAAAAGTAGTTCTTTATTTGGTCCATCATGATAATGAGAAAACTTTTGTAACACATTCAGTCAACAGATATCTAATAACGATTGTCCTTTACACGTTTCGGCACACGAATAATCAATAGAGCAGCAAATATAAATATATAACGATTATGATCATTACTAAAGAGAGACGCTTGCTAAATTATAGATAAATTTTATAATATTATAAAACTCAAATTTACGATAATTCTTAGATTAATTTAAATATCTTAATGAAATAAATATTCGTTTTAATAACGTCACAAGTAATAACAATGAATAAATGATTATTATGCATTAGAATGCAATTTTAAATGCGTAATTCTAGCATAAATATTGAATAGCTATAAAAAATAAGAAATATCAAGTATTATTGAGATTTCTCAAATAAAATTAATTAATAAAAATTCTGATTTTTGAAAAATTGATTATTTATATATTTAATATAAATTTCAAATGACGATAACTTCGTAAATAATAAAGATAGAAAGGTTTCTAAAAAAGAAAAATAAAACTTATGTGTGTGGAATTTATACTTTAAGAATCTATTCATTTCAATGTAGTGAGATAAATTTATTAAAAATGACGGATGACAAAACGAGATTATGCAAAACTGAAAAATAATGGTCACGGCACATGACGTGAATCAAATATCACATCTCCATAAAATAGAAAGCATATATGATAGTATAGAATGTCTTTTTTAAAATATTTTTTTATTCATCTCGATACGATGATATTTTGCCGAGATATTTGCATTTGAATAAAAATGCAGCTTTTTACTTTAAATGCGAATAACTCTGCGAAAAATCATTGTATCGTGATGAATAAAACACATTTTAAAGGGCTGACTCTGTACTATTAAATTCTATACTATCATATGTTTTCTATTTCATGGAGTTGCGACATTTGACTTACCCCATGTGCTATGGCAAACTCAAACCATTATTTTTCAATTTTGCATAATCTTGTTTTGTTATCCGTCATTTTTAATAAATTTATCTTGCAACATTAAAATAAATAGATTCTTAAAGTAAAGATTTCAAGTTTTAGTTTCATTTTTTTCATTTTTTAGAAACCTTTCTTTACAAAGTTATTGTTATTTAAAATTTGGTGATTCTTTTCTAAATTTTAAGTGTATTGCTTTTTTTGGAGTAAGTGTATAAAGTAGTAATAATTTTAAAGGCCTCCATGATTAATAATATTACGAATTTTAATATTATAAAAAAACTGTCTACTAAGTATATGGTTAACATTATTTTTTATAAGTAATATATTTTTTTATATATAAACAATGTTTAGAAATTATATATGCCAGGAAAAATATATATCATGTTAAAATGTTGTTTGATAGACATTTGAGGGCGACTATATATAATTATTTTTCTTTTAATGACTCAACGCTTATTATAAAGAAAAAGTAGGTGTATTAGTATCAAGACTGAAATATCGCGTGTTCTGGATACTGACTTGTGAGTCACGTGCTCCAAGATCGCGTGAAAATCACTTTCGGAAGCTAATAGTGGCAGCGGTCAGTTACGTGACTAATATCTTAATATATATGCATATATGCATATATATATATATGTATACCGCGAAATATTTAGCCGGCATAGCGAGAGCAGCCACGCGATGAGCTGTTTGAATCTGAGATTTCTCCCGCCCAAGCGAAATAAGAACCTTGATTAAGGAATCTATAGACGCACTGTCGTAAGGGATTTCTCGGTAGTGCTATATATATTTTTAAATAAATTTTTAAAAAAATAATTCAACACCAAAATATATAAAATATTAAAAATCCAAAACAAGAGAGCCAAATTTTCATCTGGAGAACGCGTAACATCTAAATTAAAATTGGGAAGAGTTTTCTTCAAACAAAAAACGGGACAAAGAAATAGAGAAAAATGCTGATATTTAAATTACTTAAATCGAATATTCAGATATGATGTAACTAATGAAGAAAAGTTATTTGCGAACATTCTACATAAAACAAAAAATTTCTTTAGCAACAAAATTGAATATTGCCCCGTCAGCATTGCGTGCATCGTCGGCAAGGAAAATCTCGACCGACCATAGAATATCTCGCGCAGTCACCTTTCGCCGAGGGAGAGTTAGCGCAAAGGGGCATAGGGGCCCCTCCGGTCAGATTAGGCCCCGTCGGACCCCTCTCGAAGTCGTTCCTTCGTGCCGGTCTGTGCTGTCGAGTTCGCCTTGTCTTGCCTTGCCTTGCCTTGCCTCGTGCATGCGCACCATGGTCCCTCTCGCGTCTCGGGCCAGCATCGTCTTCGTGGTGCCCAGCTGGATCCGGACAGTCTCTCGTTGGTCCCGTCGTCCGCGTTCGCCAAGCAAAGCCGCATCTCGGCGCGAATCGATCTCGCGCGTCGTATCATCGTCTTCGTCGTCTTCTACTCTTCGTACTCTCTGATGTAACTCCCTTCTCCCTGCACCCGTGAAACCGCATCGCGGTCGCCTCGTATCGCCGCGATTACGCACACACATACACTCTCTGCGAGAGAGTCTCGCCGAGCGGTCCCAACGATCCCGTAGATCGCCCGCGAACGCCTGCGACGCGTCCTCGCGCGCTCGCCGGGGACCGATTTTGAGAGTGCGTCTTTTGTGAGCGACGATCTTGCCCTTTTTCCCAGGGATAAGGGACGTGGGAATCATCGGTGAAACCTGTGACCTGTGAACTCGCGGATCTACGCATCTCCGGATCGGCGTTCTATCTGACAGCTACTGAGAGAGAGAGAGAGAGTTTAATTAATTGTTTTTTTTTTTTTTTTTTTTTTTTGAAAATTGTCTGCGTGTGTGTGAAACTTTATTTTTGAAGTGTGTGAGATCGAGATGACTTGATGATCGTGAGAATCTAATAGAGAGGGAGAAAAGAAAGAAAATTTCTTAGATCACCTACTTTCTGTTAGATGATTATTTCTTCGGATGATCGCGAGAGAAGAACGTAAGAACGGAGTCCATTGACAGGATTGAGGTGAAGTGGGAAAGTGCAATCTGCGATTTGCATCGCGCAAAATCGTTCCTCGATGATATGATGACGGAGTAACGACGTTACTCCGATATACGGATTACAGTCATAACTTATATGCTGGGGCCATCGTTTCTCTCCGCGACTCGCCAAACATGTACAATGTCGACGCGAATAAAACTTTCAATACAATCGTGAAGACCATTTTGCGGATTTAACGTTCTCCATTAAGCCGATCGTAAAATACAAAATATCGCAGCGTTTATTGCGATTGCGTGCGCGTAATTCACGGATTTTTGGCGGCACCATCTGACAATAAGCCGGAAAGAGACAAAGATCCGAAGGATCGGGAAGCAACGATCGAGAGATCGGGAGGAAGTGAGAGATATCTAGATTTGTAGAACGGCTGTGCGTCGAGCACTCCGATGTGTGCCACGGATATACCTTGTGCCAGTGCTCGCGTTTGAGTAAGATCGACTTCTCCGGATCTTTCTCTTTTGTAAATCGAGATCGCAGATTTTCTCATGCGATTGACGGCGAACGACGCACGATGCTGGCGAGTGCTAACGTGAGAGTGAGTGACGCGATGTGAGTGCAGACGTACTTGACGGGAATTCGAGCGGGCTACGAGACCGCTCAGCTGGTGATACATCTCGCTGACAGATATTGGATCATGGATCTGCGCGTTGTCACTCAGCGAGCGTACTTTCTTAGGTGGAATCGCGTGGTGGACATCGGTGAAAGTATCTTCGATCGTTTGCAGAAGTAAGTTCGACTATTATTCCATTAGAGAATTTTGCGTTATTAATATCGGAAGGCGTGAGTGCGTCAGATACGAGATATGACTCGAGGATTACGTTAGATACAATAAGGGATAATATATTCTGATTTTATAAATGTTACAAGAGCTTAATAGAATTTGAATTCTATGAATTTGAAAACATGAGAGGTTTAAAAATGGGATCTTTGTAATCGACAATTTTAGATTTCTACGAATTCTGAGGCTCCACTTCATACAATTCGATTATAATGAAAATAGAATTGAAGGATTAATCAAGCAATCTCGAGATTTTATTAATATTTGATATTTAAAATTTTCTCATATGTATATTTAAAATTAAGCATTGTATAATTAATTTTGATTTTAATTATATATATATATATATTTTTTTTTTTTAATACAAAAAATATAACTTCTTCATTAAATAATTTTTAGAATTAAAAATATCAAAAGTTACAACAAAGATATAAAAATTAAACTTCCCTTCGAATTTACTTTGAATTTGAATGCTGAAGATTCGAATTCTGACAAGAGCAGATGGTGAAAATTTAATATTGCAAAAAATTCGTAAAAGTATGCTTCTTCTCATGCATATAAAGCGCATCGACGAATCCCTTGCACTTGCAGCTCAACGCGCGCTTTCTTGGCCCTGAAGTCGAGCGCGACGACGTTCGCCAGTATGCGTCCTTGATTTTCTCTCGATTAGTATCCGTGGATCGCGCGCGGTGGATCGCCCGTTATTGAAGGAGGAAAAAGTGCCGGGCGTCGTTCCGGTTGGCCGTTTCGGTTCAACGGCCCTCGCTCTGAAACGGCCTGTATCAAACGGCGGCTGCACGCGTTCGCGGGGCACACAATACCGATTCTTTGCACGTTACGAAGTGCGCGGCTTCCGGGATTGCTTAGGATTACCGCTGAACTTTCACCGATCGGCAAAAAATCGCGATGTTTTCCGCTCGAACAACGCCGCCGGACGAGCGAACGTTATATTCATAAATGCCGACGTGATCTTCTCCATTGTGTTTATATCCGCAATCTGCGATTTTTTCTGCTCTCTCTCTCTCTCTCTCTTTCTCTCCCCGGAGCTAATATTCAATGTAAAAAATAATTTTTGCCCCTATTACCAATTAACTTTTTATATTTACTAAATATCATGACTCCTTTTCTATTTCATTAATTTTCTTCAATTTTTTTTCAAAAATTTGTTTCTAACAATCTTTCGTATAAATTGAAAATGTGTTTTGCATATCTCTTAATTCCTTCTAATTTTAGCAGACAGGTATGCAGATTATCATACAAGTTGATTTAAAAGAACGCTTTACTCTGTGGAATTTCTAATGTTTGCCACTCTTATCGAATATTTGCCTTTTTCCCCTAAATTAATTATCGAAATCTACGATGCTGTCGAGCGTGAAGTGCGAATCGTCATTAAGGAACGGAATGGCAAATAAGAGGAAATTCCATTCGCGCGGTTTACTGCTTCTCGCAGTTGATTATACAAATGGGACACAAGTCTTATTTTTTCACTGAACTTATTGTATCGATGGGGTTACGTAATACGTTAAGGAATTTTGCTCACAAACGCAACAATCTGGTTCACCACCTGATGATATCCACATCTGTATTAAAACAGCTGCGAAAGTGTGCAACTCAGATTTCCTTCATTGCAATTTTTTTGTCACTCGAAAATGATAACGTAACAATCTTTTTTTTTTTAATTTTTTGTTACATTATTACAATAATTATACGGATCAAATTTTTAATATTAATTAATAGTGATAAACGAATTTAAAAATTATTTTGTATTTTCTAAATCAAAAGCTTTCATGTTTAACTAATTGTAAGACTAATAAGGCTTTCAATGTGAAATAGACATTTAAATTTCAATTTTGAGCTGAAAAAAGCTAGACGGGTGATAGTGCAATTTCAAGAAAAATTTATTTTTCATTGAAACTGATTAATTCTGCATAAATTTTTTTTCGATACGTAACCAAATATTAAATAATTTCAGTATTATTTTTTAGTAATAATTTCAGTAATAATTTAGTATATTATTTTACTCGCCTATGCTTCTTTAGCGCGGGAACAGAGGAATAATTAAAATAAAATCTCGAATTGAGATTTATTTAATTACTTGGTATCGTACCAAAAAATTGTGTTCTGTGCACAATTAATTAATTTGAATGAAAAATTAATTTTGCTGAAAACCAACACATTATTATCCACGATTCTTTGTAGTGTCGAAATTTAATATACTTTAATATTTAATTCTATAAAAAGTATAGAATTTTATAATAAAACATATACGTATTTATAAATTAATTAAAAATATTGAATAGTTTAAAATAGATATGTTATAGCATCAATCATTTTTTATTTATAAGTGGTTGTAAAAATATAAAAGAGAATTTTTATAGGAAAACTTCAAATGTAATAACATCTCATTGATATTTATTTTGCTTGAAGATAGTATTTTAATAAATTTCTGAAAAATATAAGCACATTAATTACAAACATACAAATATATTTAAAGTTCAATTAAGAAAAAATACCCGGGAAAACGAATAAAATCCATAAAGAAATTCTGTCAAAACGAGATACAAATTTGTCGAGAAAAGCGTCGAAGTAACGGCAAGCCTGAGATAAGGTGCACCGTGCATAATTACTTATTGAAAGCTACGCTTGCGTTGCTGCAAAACGAACAAAATAAATCCAGAGACGAAAGATCAGATTAGATTCTCCCAGTAATCTCTACCACCCAAGAAATGCACGCCGGAACGATGTAACTGAAGAGTAAAGGTCCTCCTGGTTTCGCTCTCGGTGTAGCTGATTAACCCGCGTTTCTCTCTTTCTCTTTCTTTCCGTTCCTCAGATCTTATTGCCGATGAGGCTGTTAATTCCTGTTGCGGCGCGCCCTACGAATTCCAACAAACGGTCGAAGAGAATCAATGGCATCCGGTGCGTTTCGTCCGCGGACACGAAGAGGGATGTTCCTGGTCGCAGCCACTGGTTCTCCAAAGGCACGACATATAAATATCATCACTTGGCGAGTCTTCTCCTCTTCTGCTTTTTCCCTCCTTGGCCCGCGGTGTCTATTTAGATAATCTTCCGCTTGGCGGGAGAGCGGCACTCGATGCGGTAAGAAAGCCTCTTCCTCGCGGTGGCTTTTACCAAGGTGGCCTCGTGTTCCTCGTTTGTGGATCGACAATCTTCTCGATCGAACCCCTTTTTCACCTTCCGCTCCTTTCGTCGTTAGTTCCCGGTGAAACTTTTTAGCATTCGTGCGCGAACTCGTAGATTTCGTGATTCGTGCGACGACCTTGGAAAGAATCCCCGAGGAAAATCCCGAACCCGAAGAGCGTTGAAGAGGACTCGAAAAGAAATCTCGAAGGAAACCGAAGTCTCAATAAGAATCTTGAGGACGCTCTTAAGAGTTGTCGAGAAGAACTTTGAACAACATCTTTCGGGAAAAGCACGTAAAATATTTTGAGAAGTTCTTGGAAGTACTTTTGCATTATCCTGGGATAAAAATACGAGAAGCTACTTGACAAGCTGGAAAGGTTAAACAATATAATTTGTAAAAATGATTAAATGCAATTGTACACATGATATATAATTTTTGAGCGAAACTAGCAGAAGAATCTAGACGCTTAGAAGATTAGCAAAAGTTTTAATAACAGATCGAATTAGACTCTCTTTTCTTCTTTCTTTTTAAAGAACTGTGATAATTAAATACTGCTCGAGTCTTTTGGACTATATGTGATACCGGAAGTTTTCGAAAAACGGATTAATATGGTGAACATTGAGACGTGTGGATGGATGAGAGATGATTAAATTTTTGAACGAACGAGAAGAGACGCTGCGGTTAGCGATGTTGGTGGCGTCGGAGATCGCTGATGTCGACGAATTTATTCTGGGAGGGTATGTACCTGGTGTGCCGACCGTTGACTGACTCACAAGTTGTTTGTTTGGCGTCACGCCGATAGGAATATTTGCATATTGAGATAAACGAAACAGTAGCTTTGGTTATTGTTCATAAACTATCATTTCTCTCTTTCTTTACGATTTTGCTTTAGGTCCACTTAAATTCATTCGATAAAGCAGCTCTTATTTCGAGAAATTTTTCACATTTTCTGCATTTTAGTACACACATTGTTCTTCATATTGAAACGAAATAGATTGATATTTTTTTCACACATAAATTAAAAACACTTTCCTTACATTTTTAATTAAATATATTATTTATATTTTACAAAATATATTATTATATAAATTTATGCCATCTCTCAATTAAGTTTCATTATTTGCATTAATTACATTAACAAAATTAATGCTAAGTTTTTTAATAACAAGTACGTTTCAAAAAAGTTAATTAAACATTCGAAACGCAATTGTAAAATACTATTAGGTCTTGTGTGCACAATAAAGAAACCATCGTTATCGACTTCGATGATGACAGTTATTACATTAGCTAATTTGCTGAAGAGCAAAAGCTTGTTCCATGTTCTTTTCCATCATATTTACTTTTCTGCAAGCTTCCCTCTTGGTTTAAATAGATCAATGCATTAGTTCGATAAGCGTTTACATTAGATATTGTGCAATTTCTGCAAATATTATATAATGATATGTTAAAAAGAATTATTTAAAAAAATACATTAGAAGATATTCATTTGTTGAAGCGTTTTCCATACGTGGAATAATCTTTTGTAACGACTTTTTTCGGGCAATATTTTAATATAATTATCCTTAAGCAGAGAGATATTTCATCCGTGTTACTTCCGCCGCGGAATGTCCCAACACGAGTCATCGAGCGGCGGCGAGTTAGATATAAATATCGCCACTTCAATTTTCTTAAAGAGAAACTTACTCAGCCAGGTTACTCACCGCGGCAAAAATATCGAATCATTTCTCGCACGGCTTTAATAAACGATTAATTAATGATGCAATTCTGTCAAAAGTGGCATAAGTAGAAATAAGTCAACTTTTC